TGAATAGTTAATATTTGCTTGTAATATGGTAAGGTGCCAATAGATATTTTTTTGTATTTTAGAAAATAGTTTGTCAGGGAACTTACACCATAGTAGATCTATGCAGAATAAACTCTTGCAAATATATTAACCATTGGCTAGCTGATTGACCACTACAAATGGTCTGAGTTGGTATAAGTTGGCCTTGCAGGTAGTTGGTAAAAATTTAGAGTCGGCACCGAGTCTGCACTGTGGTACAAGTAAACATGGTTATTTTGGCACAAGATGAACTAACAAAAAAGGGTCACTACATAAGGATTTTTACCTGCTTCCGTATTCTGCTATTGTCTGTTTTATATTATCTGTTGCCCTTTATATAGCTGAATTGTGTACCATTTTGCACCAAATCAGAATAGTTTCTTTCATTCCTTATATCCAGTTCCTGTATTTCTGATGAAGATTCTCTCTCGTAGATTGTTGGAGCAGAAAATCCAGTTTTGATGTCTGCAGCTGAGCAGATATTTGGTGCTGGTGGGAAGAGAATGCGGCCAGCTCTGGTCTTTCTAGTTTCAAGAGCCACGGCTGAAGTAGTAGGGATGAAGTAAGTTTTACCCAGTATTTAAGGGCATTATATGGTGCTGAGTGGAATAGAAAAAATTATATTGCATTGCTGCTTTGCAGGGAACTTACAACTAAACATCGACGTTTAGCAGAGATTATCGAGATGATCCACACTGCAAGTTTAATACACGATGATGTACTGGATGAAAGTGACATGCGAAGAGGTAGGATTTCAAATTGATTATATAATCATGATGATGTATCGAAGTAACTTGAAAAATCTCATTAATGTCACTTTATCATTCACCAACACATGCTTATTAAAGAAACCCAAGCTATTTCAAAAGTTCCAAGGTATACGAGGATCTAATGTTGCCCCAAGCACCAGCGAAACCACTTACAGTTTGCATGCCCTAGACTTCATACCTGCAAGTCTACCTTGCTGTGAAATGGCAACAGATTATCAACCTCTATTTGGTTATTGTAATCTGCTTACATATACTCTTGTATGAAATGCTAGATTAGAAGAGTTCTCGATCAGGTCATCAGCATTATATTCTCTATTGGATTAGGTCTTGTGTTTTACAACAACTAGAGGATCAATTTAGCTAATTGAACATATATTGTTATTCTGCTCCTTACATTAGCTACATTTGAAGGATTTCTAAATGAGTACGTTGGCATATACAAGAGTTGAACATGGAGGCTCTCTGAATTGTATCTATGGATTATAAGTTTTAATTTCATTTGCCCTGTTTAGAGTTTTACAGAACCAGTCCAAGGCTGAAAAGAGAAGGGTTCTTGTAGATGGATGACCAACAGGCCACATATACTTAGACCTACTTTAGCAGTGAGATGGAAAATATGATTCTGTGAAGCCAACCTTCTATTGTTTGGACTTGTGCATCGACCTGGAATCCTACCCCCCTTTAAAAAGGAAACTGAAACTATCTATTACTCTCCCAATTAAGGATTGTAAAGCAGCCTTTGATTGTTTTTGTATGAAGATGTAATGTGCTATGTTTCCCTTCTTTCTTAAATGCCTATAAACTTGTGGGACTGATACATCACTGTATCAGAGAGTATGTCATAGATGAGTGAGAGCTTAAGCTTTCTTTCACTGTAAATCACTATGCTAGAGCCTCTTGACATGACATGAGCTTGAATGTGCACATCCAATGAGATGTAATACACTGCTTCAACTTTTGAATGAATTGCTACGTAAGCAGAGATTATAGACTGAAGGAAATATACTATAAGTAGTGACTGGTATTATTGAAGCTCTTCTTTATCACATCAAGTAGGGTTGCGAAACTGAAATATTTATTAAACAGTTTGTTGCATTTTGCAATTTCTTTTTGTTTTTTCGTTTCATAATTTCCATTATGGGCCTACAGTAAGACCTTCTCTGACTTTCAGTTCACTGCTGCTAATTTGCAGGGAAGGAAACTGTTCATCAACTCTATGGTACAAGGGTAGCGATACTGGCTGGGGACTTCATGTTTGCTCAGTCGTCATGGTACCTAGCAAATCTTGAAAATATTGAAGTCATTAAGCTTATCAGCCAGGTAGGTCTGCAATTCCATTCTATACACCAGTAGTAATAGTCTGGTCCATTGTTCAATACATAATATGGAGTTTTTGCACCTCACTATTTATTGTTAGTTTTACAAATTGAAATCTGAGAAACAGGAATGGGGTAAAGATGGTTTTATTCTGGTGAATTGAAGTTGATTTACAATTATACTTGCTTGATGGCAGGTTATTAAGGATTTTGCTAGTGGTGAAATAAAGCAGGCATCTAGCCTATTTGATTGTGATGTTGAACTTGAAGAGTATTTGATCAAGAGCTATTACAAGACAGCCTCCTTGATTGCTGCTAGCACCAAAGGAGCTGCTATTTTTAGCGGGGTGGACAGTAGTGTTTCCATGCAGATGTATGACTATGGTAAGAATCTTGGTCTCTCCTTCCAAGTGGTGGATGACATACTAGATTTTACACAGTCAGCAGAGCAGCTGGGGAAGCCAGCTGGGAGTGACCTGGCTAAGGGGAACCTGACTGCTCCAGTAATATTTGCTCTAGAGCAATCACCAAAACTAAGAGAAATAATCGAGTCCGAATTCTGTGAGAGTGGTTCCATTGATGAAGCTATCCAGCTGGTTAAGAACTCTGGGGGCATTGAAAGGGCGCGGGAATTGGCGAAAGAGAAAGCTGATCTTGCGATTCAGAATCTTAGATGCCTTCCTCAGGGCTCCTATCAATCAGCTCTCGAGGAGATGGTTCTGTACAATCTCGAACGGATTCATTAGTACGATACTTCTTGTTGTACAAGCTATTCGTTGATCATTGGAAACAATAAATAATGTACAACAACAGCGGTGCCATGTAGCGAAAATACCATGTAACAAGCCTGTACGGGCGCCGGAATTCATACAAGTCTTGCAGAGGATAAGTCCCTGAAGACGCATCATTCTATATTCTTTAAGCTACTGAGCTGAGATTTCAGTAAATAATACTGCGTATTCAGCGACAGGTTGATCAAAGTTGTCTACAGAAAAATCACTTTCTACTATTGTGGTAGAATAAAGGAATTTTTAGGCCATCTTGCTGAACTGGATCATAATCTTTCTTTTTTTTATTTGTTTTTTTTTTTACGTTTTTTCCCCTTAAATTACAGTTTAGGCAATCCAATTTTTAAATTTAAATAAAAAAAAAATCCATCCTTCTATATAATACATAAAGCACTGCCTCTCTCGAGTAAAAATCTCAATTTTTTAACACTCAAATCTCAATAACCTAATTCTTAAAGTCAGTGATTGTTTTTATATTTGAAAATATGTATTTTTATATTTTTTAAAATTTATTTCTTATATTAGAATATCAAAACCATCTAAAAATATTAAAAAATTTAATCTTAAATAAAAAAAATCTAATTTTGAAAAGACGTAGTTTATGCTGAAAAAACAAGCAAGTCCATTTCTCACCCTCTGTTTTTGATCATTTTGTGAGCAAGCAAGGGATGCAACCTCAGAAATCTGGTTCTCATGGTTCAGTTCATAAATAGCTTCAACTCTCTCCTCTTCATTTTCCCCTCACTATCCCCGCACTGGATAGAGTGAGATGCGAGGAAAGCCGTACTGGTGCATCTTCTTTCTCCAAGGCAGGGTCTCCAAAAATATAGCTTCAAATGGTTTTGATTTTAAAATCTAAACATGGAGTTGACAAGGGATGCGATTCAAATGTTGTGTCTTTGGCTGCATCTTCTTGAAGGTGGCTTGACGATAATCAAATTGGAAGAACGAATTCAGTAAATGATGACTGATGCAAAATAGCCTATTCTAGTATAATAGTTCGGTGACCGTGCTCCGAGCTTATCTTTAATTTTTTTAAAAAAATTACAACCAGAATCCAAGCTTATTTGGATTTGGTAGGCTATTTAGATCCTATTGTGGTCAAGATTCAAGGTTTTCTTGATCTGACTCAACCCAAGTCTAATTTTAAGTTAGTTTTGGGCTACGCGGTGTAAAATTTAAAATTATTTGGGTCACATATATAATAATATCCAAGTTTACTTTTGAATATTGCAATTAATAATTTATAAATAAAAATAAATATAATTTGATAAAATTATTATTACAATATATTTCATAAAATTAATAAATGATATAACATTTCTTTTAAATTTATTAATAATATTAATAATAATAAAATATACTCTTATAAATTTTACTTAAAGTAATAATATTTATAATACAAATCATAATATTTTTAGTATTAATATTATTAATTATTATAAAAATAATATTATTTATAAATCCAAAAATAATAATATTTTTGTTATTAATACTATTAATTATACTAAAAAATATATTAAGAAAAAATATAATAATAATTTTAATATTAATTATACCAAAAAATAATATTAAGAGAAATAATAATAATAATTTTGAAATAAATACTATTAATTAGACTAAAAAAATAATAATATTTTCAATACCAATACTATCAATTATACAAAAAAAATATATTAAGAAAAAATAATAATTCTTTTAATATTAATTATACTAAAAAAATAATATCAGCAAAATAAAATAAAATATTTTTATTATTAATACTCTAAAAATTAATTATACTAAAAAAAATATTAAAAAAATTAATAATAATATTTTTAATTATACTAAAAGAACAGGCAACTAAATAAATCATTACCTGGTGCTTCGACTTTAATAAAGAGAAAGTAGGCAAAACACCTCCAGACGCTTGGGCTATTTGCTCTCAGGAGAGAACTTAAACGCCAGGTGTCACAACATAGTTTTTTTATAATAATAGTAATTTTTTAAAATTTATAAAAAATAAAAAACCACAACGAAACTAAACGACACCGAAAATAATGAAATATTTTGGATTAAGCTGTAAAGCGGAATTAAAGTATATTAAAAAAAGGAATAACGCTTGCTACTATGGGTAATACAGTCATTTCACCTATTTCCTCCAGACACTTTCCTCCTCTCTAGAGGTCCTCTCCGCCGCCGCCGGCTCACCTTTTCTTTCTCCCCAATTAACAGAAGCACCGCACAGCACCCATATACATATAAAGAAAAAGAAAGATGCGATAAATAGGTCACTCACTCAGTCTCCCCAAAGAAACTTCTTAGAGAAACTAACTAATAATTGAAATCCATGAATGCATGGAAAAGCATAGCCAAAGATGCATTTACCCAAACTTGTCTGGTCGTCAAGTTCCTTGGCTTCCTTCACCTCACCAACAACTACCTCATCTCTCCCACTCTCGTCCGTACCGTCTCTTCTTCTTGCTTGGAAACTCACTTCTGGGATTCTTCATCTGACTCATCATCGTCCTCTGCTTTCAGGTTTACGGCCCTAGCATGCTCCCAACGCTAAATCTAACCGGCGACGTCTTATTAGTGGAGCACGTGTCTCACCGCTTCCAGAAGGTGGGTCCAGGAGATGTGGTACTGGTTCGGTCACCTTTAGATCCTACAAAGATGGTCACTAAACGCGTTGTTGGTATGGAGGGTGATCGAATCAATTTCTTGCCCGATCCCTCCATTACTGACATCTGTCGCACCATCATGGTATGGATATGATAACATTAATTTCTTTTTTCTTGTTTATCTCATCTCATGGTTGTGGTTGAAGCGTGCGTGAATCTGGTTAATGAGTTGTTTGGTATTTGGGATAATTGGCATTGGTAGGTACCAAAGGGGCACATTTGGATTCAGGGTGATAACATGTATGCTTCCTGTGATTCACGGCATTATGGGCCTGTTCCATATGGTCTTGTTCAAGGCAAGCTCTTTTTCAGGGTAACTGTTTGTTCCTTTACTCCTTTGTTCGTTTTTTCAATGTGTATGTATGATTCAGATCAGACGAGATTTGATTCTTGAAACAACTATCAGCATGTGAAATGATATTTCTTGCTTGAGGTTTTACTTTTATAGGGTTAAAGTTTAGGTTTCATTTTTCTGCATGCATATGATTCAGTATTTTTAGGCTTTATTTCTAGGCTTATCAATTGCTTGGTCTAACTGCTTCAGACTTCCTTCTCAGGATCCTACTTGTTGGGACCGGACCATAATCAGACTTAAATTAAGACATCTGTCTTGTAGATGTGGATTTCAATTTTAAAGAATGGGATATGAGTCTATCAGGGGTCTAGGAGGATACTCCAGTGGCTATCTGACTTAGTACTATTTCTGATATTAACTTTCTTTCTTTTTAAGCTTTCTTCAACAGTACGTGACGGAGATACTGGTTATTTAGTATTGCTAGTTATAAACCTTCTTTTCTAACCTGAGATCCCATAGGCATGGGGGCTTCACAATGAGAATCTCTTTCTTTTTCACTCAAGAGTTCTTGAAAAAATGAATTTGCATTCAAGAGCCGTTTCCGAGTGCATGCTACCAAACCTTGTAAAGTTCTATATTCTTAAGAGTTACATCTCTGTTCCCTGAGCGTCACTTGAAGTTGCAAATAGTGTAGTTGCATGGTTGTAACTCTGGGATTCAAATCTTGAATGAAATGATTTCCTTGCAATATCAGGTGTGTGTGCATAACATGGGTCCTGATCATTTGATGACAAAAGATTTTTTTCAAGTTAGGTTTAAAATGATCATTAATGGTTTGAGCGATGGTTAATACACAGTTTCTTTCTTTTTCTTTGTGAATTTTTTTTTTGGCTAGTTGAATATTGGTAGAGTTAGTGAATCATTTTGTAAAATCTCCGTTTGTCATTAGGTATGGCCACCTTCTAGCTTTGGCTCTTTCGGTCAGTGACCAAAATGAAGTATATAAGTTGGAGGTATGTTTATTTCCACAGTTCCACTGGACTATATTTAAATTCTGTGCTTAATATCCATTTGTTATGCTGATAAATCAAGGGAAAACTTGTTAATATGCTCTCATAAGAATCATCATAGCCTTGGGAGCAGTGAATATGATTATTCCAATTTATCTTATGATATTTCGTTGTCTTCAGATCTTAAGTTATTTCCATTTTTTTTCTTTTGGTTGCTGATGGTTTATAGCTGGTTCTGCACGACAAGGTCATGCTCTGAATTTCTAAAGAACATTCATGACTAGTGAAGTAATGTTCTCTCTTTTTTTGCCATGTCATCTCAATCTGGAGCATTCTGTGCTCTTGTAATGAAGCATTTAAATAACATATGTTCTCTTGATCTTCTTCAATCATGTCACCAAGTTTGCGAGATGCTAATTTCATGTCACTTATGGAATGTGGACTACCTGGAATATAGAAGACTGGAAACCATAGATGATGATTATGTCCATGTGTGGCAGCATTGCAGTGAGTATTCATTGCTAGCAACCCCACGAATCATGCAACATGTTGGAATGCATTTTCCTTGATACACATGGTTCTGAGGTTCAGGAGGGGTGTTGGTGTTGATCCCAGAGTTTGTGCTATTCTTTCAGAAAAAGAATCTCATGGTTGCAGGTTTAAGTGGCTTCAATGCCATTTTGTAACCAAAACTACAAATTCTTAAAGGGACCAAGCACCGAGTTACTTCATCTTGTTTTCTTGAAGTAGCATTGCTTTATAAATTCTCATTCAGCAGCCATATTTTTTCTGATGGTTACCCTCTGTTTTGTTGAGTTGATGAAACGCCTGTGTATATAAAATACCAATACTCTTTATGTTTTGGTTTTCAGGAATTCCGTGAAGCAGAGTATCCCAATTTTGCATAACTTGTACATGGCAAATCTGTAGCTATTAAACATCTTGACAGTTTTCCAACTGCCATTTCGCAGGGGATACAGTGGCCAGAAGCAACAAATGGATCAAAGTCCAGGCATTCTCTCATGTACATGTTTTTGTGAGAGACGAAGTTGACCTGCTTGTGGATTGTTACAGTCAGTAGTTGATTTATTATCGCCCATACACTGTTTTTCCATTTTAAACTGCAACATACAGTTTTCCCTTGGAAGCAACCTGCGTAGCTGTGTGCTGCCTGTGAATTTATATTTATTTAGAAAAAAACTTGGGTGCAAGTCTTTGGAAGCACTATTTCTTTATTCACGAAGCCACTCTCCTATTCAAATCACCAAAGGCTTTATGAGTTTTGATGAAGCTTTGAAGAGGAGCGTGCAGTCATATAATAAGAGTCTCAAGCTGCAGAAAGCTTTCTTAAATTGTAGTCTTTCTAATATTTTGTAGTCAATGGGGTCTTTCATAATTCCAGTTTCTTATGTGAATGTCTTTTTGCTAGCCTTGCAGCAGGATTGACATCCTGCTTGGTGATTTTTTTTATTTTTTTTTCAATTAATGTCTTGAAAAACACTATTTTCCATTTGGGGTTCATGATTTTCACTTTCGGTTGCACCATCGAATTTGAATTTCATTGGACACTGCTAAAGCTTTCTTTTTTCCAATTTTCCAGAGATCCGTTGAATCTCGGACTGAAGGGTGGGGTAGCTTCTATTTTTTGTTCATAATATAATGAACGAAATAAGTTAAAGAACTGGGATGAGATTGTGTGCCTGCCTTGCTGAAGGAAGCTAGCCCTGCAATAGGCCAAAATAAAAATCACTATTTTTTACTTCTATTTAGGAAAAAAGTTTCTAACTTTCCACGTAAATTTTGAAAGATTTATTTTATATTTTTATAAAAAGTCAAAAGCATAATATAAAAATAATATTATTTTAATATTTTTTAAATGAAGAATTATCTTCATTAATTTCAAGGTCTTGAGGTATTTTAAAATATTGTAATGGTTGTGTTTGAGAATACTTTTTTTGAGAAATGTATTAAAATAATACATATTTTTTATTTTTTTTAAATTATTTTTAATACTAGCATGATTTAAAAATATAAAAATATAATTATAAATATTGTTTTTTTGAATTTTAACAAAAATAAAAATAAATAAAACTTCTGGCCAAACATATTTTTAGACGGTGTCATACCCATAACAATTTAAAATAAAATCCAGAGGTCAATGAGGAGGCAGGATATTAAATGATTAAATTAATGAATGTTTTAAGGGACCAATGGCAAGATGGACAATTCGTCCCGAGCCGAACTAGCTATAAAAAGAGAAGCAGTAGGGTTTCGGATCTCACTGCCTTTGAGAGAACAGAGCGTGAATATCCTTCATGCCGCTCTTGTTCCGTTGCGGGCATACAGCAATTCCCATGATTCCTTCCATTGATCTTTGCAAGTAGATGGATTCTCTCTCTTGCAGTTGCATGAAAGGTGTCATACATCTCCACCATTATTTTCTTGCTGTTTTAGAAACCTTTTCTTTTCAAGATTTGGCCGATCCAATGGGCTCTTGCTTTAAAAATGGCAGAAATGCGTGAGAGCTCAATTTCACCCGGCCTAGAGTTGAATAATGGGGCAGTCTCAAGGTTTTTACATGTTTTCTCACTCGTGTTTTAATTCAGGAAACTGCCCTAAATATTTCTTTCATTATTTCCTCTTTTCTCAAATCCAAACATTTATTGACCGTGGCTACTCTTGTAGATCTGAACCCCCCCCTGTATTTTCTGGCTTTGTTCAGCTCTTCAGTATGTTAATGGATTCTCGCCCTCGTATGATCATGTTGGGATCTTTATATCTTACATACTGTGAATAACCAGTTAATTTCTTAGTTTCTTTTAATTTGATATACGGTTTCCTTTGGAAAATAATTGTGGTGTTATTTCGTCTTCACTTACAGAATTTTTGCTAAAGCTGTTTTGACCAGTCATGGCAAAGTTTTGCAGCACGTCTTCAACTTAAGTTTCCTCTGCAGACAATTGCTAATCTGAAATGAGTAAATGCGGAGTAGGATTGCTTCCAACTTGGTTACCTGAAATCAGATGTCCGAGTCAAAGATCATCAATGGCAAACCCCAAAAATGATGAGAGCTAAGTTTTCCACTGCAGTTGAAGAAACCAACTAGACATCTACTTCCCTAAAATCAGGTGAAAAAGCAATATAAAACCAAAAGAAACAGCGATAAAGTGGGCAACTAAATGTTGAAATGACTTTAAATCAAAAGGTTTACTTTTTGGGTGAAATGACATTTTTTTAATGTTTTTCTTTTAAAAAATTATGATAAAATTTTAATTATGTTACATTTCAAAATCATGAAATCAATGCATAGGCAACTTTTAAAATTGCTAAAACCAGGCCTCAAAACTGTTATCCAGACATAATTTTTAAAATATCTAAAACCAAAGTTTCAGGTTGATTTTTAAAATTTAAAGATTCAACATTGAGTGATTTCATAGCTATTGTAACTAAAATATTTTAAAAATTCAATATTTAGATTAGTGATTTTATAGTTATTTTAAGAAAAATAACTTTTAAATTTTTTTTATTAAAAATTATACATGTTTTAATAATTAAATAAAAAATTATGAATTTTTTAAGTTAATATTTTAGTTTAGTGTGACTAAATCTTTTCTAGAATCTAAATATGTTTTATTAATCTATAAATATATATAATAAATTATTTATATGATTTATTTAGGATAAATTTTTATCTGGTTATGATAGATATTAATCTAAATCTGATTGTTTTGGATTATAAAAATTATGAATAATTTTTTTAAAATTTTAATTAAAGCCTGTTTTTA